AATACATTAATTAATTACTGTTTTAAAAATATTATGGTCAACTTTTGTTTCAAGAGTTTTAGTTGAATATCAATTACAATGTATTTTAATTATTTATATTCTTGCTTTTTATTTAAAATAATTGTTTATATTAAGAATCTTAAAATTAAATTAAATAACATATATGAGAATGCATGCCAATATAATTTTGCATTGTTGTATGCGTTGACCTTGAAGTTGGTCTAAATCTGTTATTACACAGTCTCTTTCTTATTCAAAAAATATAATTAAATCGTCATTTTTTCAACTATAAAAATATTTGTAGTTAACTAGTAAATATATTAAAAATAGAGTTGACTCCGACTTCAAATTAGACTAAACAAAATTAAATTTTAATCAGCGATAATTTTATATAGTTTTAATATTTATATTTATTTAGGTTAATATGTTAATTAAGTTCACTGTTATTTTTTTTAATTTATTTGCAATATTCATTAAAGTTTATTTTAGTTTAATTAATTCTATTTTTTAATAGTTATATTTATTTTAATTAATGTAGTTAATACTGATATTTTTTATTTTATTTAATATAACTTTTTAATATATATAAATGTAATTAGGTTTAAAGGGAATTAGGCCCAATTAAATTCAACCTAATTAAAAGTTAATAGAAAATTATAAATATATAATTGTTACGACATTAATTACGCTTTTATTAGCATTAACTACTTTAAAAGATCAAACTTTAGTATCAGAGCACTTATAATAGGTATCTCTAGTTGGTTGGCGAACATATTACCTTAAAATGGAGAGTACGTAATCAGCGTATGAATATTAAAAAAGAAATTTAAGTGAACGTTTGACCTTACACTTAAAACAAATTCAATGACATATCCTAGTGTCAAAACTTGAAACAAAAGAAATGAAAAAATATGGAATAAGATTAGAAGTAGAGAATAAATAAAGACAAGTGAGATGAAGACTAACTAGATTTTTTTTAAGAACTTCAAGATATGATTGAGAAAAAAAGAACCGCACCTACAAGATAAAAGTTCTCATAGTTTACTTAAGAAATTCATTTCATTTGAAAGGGTAAAACAATGACTCAGTGTGGCATTTTACAACTAAGGTTTTAATACAATGTTTAATACAAAACGAGAGACATTCAAAACCCAAATTCAAATGTAAAATTTAAGAAGAACCACAAATGAGATGCACCTCAAGGCAAAATACTTATGATTTGATGTTTATATTCGTTTACCTTAAAGGTGGTCATGAAATAGATTTTAAAAATTCTGGTCATTCTAATCTACATCCCATAAAATATATTGAAAAAATAATTCATATCCATTTTAACTAGATCAACTATATTTAGATTTTCTCAACCCAACTTAAATTAGATTAAATCTAGATTAAATCTACTTTGTTAATTAGATTACATCCAATGAGATCGATCTAACATACTTGAGCACTAGATCCATTAAACATGAACCAGACCAACTAAGTTGGACCTGAACCTAGATCGACTTGTGTCAACTTGAGTTTGGTTTACTCAAACTTGACTTGGGTTTGGGACACCTCACCTCAACAATAGCCAAAGGTGACTTGAATAAACCTCGGTCTAGACTAACTTGACTTGACCTAGACCGTGTCAACTCAGCTCCACTTGAGTTTGAGCTCGATTGGAAGGACTCAGTTAGACCTTGGTCTCAAGATGACCCAGTTTGACCTTTTGGCTCGAGCCAACTCACCTTCACCTTCGAATCAAACTGACTGGTCTTGATCTTCAACCAGGACCGACTCGCTTTGACCTCTGATCGAGACCGACTCATCTCGGCCTTTGTCTAAGGTTGACTCGTTTCAATCTTTGGCATTGGCCAATTCGTCTTGACCTTTGGTCAAGGTCAACCCATCTTGACCTCCAACTTAGGTCGACTCATCTTGAGCACTGACTTGGGCTGACTCGCCTTGATCTACAACCCATGACGACTTGACATGAACTCTTACTAGGGATAACTCGGTTTGACCTCCGGCTGGGGCTGACTCAATCCGACCTTTGATTAGGGTGACTTCACTCGGTCTTCAGTTAATGCCTTTGACCTCAGAGGGCTCGACTCAACCTCCTCCTTATGATGATTTGGCTCGACCTTTGGTTGGGGCTGACATGACTCAACCTTCAATCGGGGTGACTTAGTTCGATGTTTGGTCAGGTCGACTCAACTCGATCTTTGATCGGAGTGACTTAGTTCAACCTTTAGTCAATACCAATTCGTTTTGATTCTTTGATATGGTCGACTCATCACAACCTTTATACCGAGTCAACTCGGTTTGACCTTTGGTTAATGTCAACTCAACTTGACCATCAACTTGGGCTTATGTGGCTCGATTCTTTAGCTTAGGCTTACTCCTCTCAAAAATTATATTGGGCCAACTCAAATCCACTCCTTGACCCAAGAAAACTAGATTCAACGTTTGTTTGGACCAACTTGCCTTAATCTTAAGCGATGACCAACTCGTCCTAACCTTCCTATCGAGCCAACTCAATTTGATTTTTTAGCACGAGTTGACCATGTTCAACCTTCGGCCTAGGTTGATTGTCTTGACCTTTGGCAAGGGCTAACTTGGCCGACCTCTAACGTGAACTGACTCAACTCAACCTTCAGCTTAGGTTGACTCAGGTTAAACTTCGGCTTAGGCTAAATTAGGTTGATCTTAGATTTGGACCGACTCGCCTAAACATTCGCTCGAGGCCAACTCGGCTCAACCTTTGACCTAAGTGAATTCATTTAGATTTCTCGACCCAGGTTGACTAATCTCAACTTTGAGTAAGGCCCGACTCAACTTGACTTACGATCCAAGATAACTTAACTTGACTTTTGAGTCAAGTCAAATCAACTCAATTTTTTTGGCTTGACCTTTTAACTTCGTTGACCTTCTACCTACACCTACTTATCTTATTCTTCAACTTAGGAAAACTTGACTTTACTTAGACCGATTTGGCTCAACCTTCATCTTAGATCAGCTTGGCTCAATCGGTGGTCAAATTGGCTCAATCAGTGGTTAGATTGACTCTATTCAACCTTGGATCTATCTCGACTTTACTTGATGTAGTTCTTAATCGTTTTGGCTTAATTTAAACACAATTTAATTTTGGATTTTCAAAATCTAAAAAATATTCATTCTAAGTCTAATTAAGTGAATTGTAATTACAATTCAAATACATAAATCTAATTAATATAAATTTGAATTATTATGGATTAGATTTTACAATTAGAATTTTTAACCCAACCTTATAGAGAATGTGAGGTATGAAACATGTGATTTCGTACTTTCCTTGCTCTCCAAGGTACACCCGATTATTTAAGTGTGCTTTATTTTCATTATTGGTTGAGAATCAAATGCATTTGGTCCTTCATTAAACACATGTCGATCCAGGTTGAATTACAAGTAATAAACTAGAATTAAAATCCAAAAGAAATGCAATAAAAAGAAAGTAACTCCTAATTTTTATGAGATCATGAATACGCAATAAAGAAAACAAATAATTAATTTCATGAGTAAAAAAGCTATTGTCTTTTGTCATGTTTCTTATGATTTTTAAATGACCTTAGTTTCTTTTTCTTGTATACATTCATTAGTTAGACTTAAACTTAAGAAGCATGACATGCTTCCTGTAAATTCTCGTAGATTTAGCTTTTATGTACCTTTTGGATGTGATAGTAGTTTATTTTTTTTATCTTCTATAATTATGCTTTAAGGAGAAAACATAAAGGTGAAAGAACATAAAGAAAAGAAAGAAAGATAATATACTTGAGAACGATTTTCTTACTTTAGTTGTTAACCGCTACATCATTACATCATTATATAAGTAAATAGAAAGGGTGTTTATCTTTGTATATAAGGAGTATGGAATAGTTTTAAATGAACACTATGCCAAAAAACGTTTTTTATACTTGTTAAAAATGACTTTTTATACCTGTTTTTGAGCGGGTATAAAAGTAGGGGGTATAGAAGTATTTGTTTTTCTATACCGATCCAAGAGTAGGTATAAAAGAATGGTTTTACACCTAATGTTCGTAGAACAGGTATGGAAAATCTCACATAAATAGACTTACTTTTATACCTGTCAAAATTAAAATAGGTATAAAAAATGAAACTTTTTTAATACCTATTAGAGTCATAACCAGTGTAAAAAGTGAGTTCTTTTAAAATGTAGATTTGCATGTGCTACTATCCATATCAATCCCAAAATATAGTCTAAATAATCTATAACGAGCAAAATAATCAATATATTTTCTATTATTAACACATCTAAATTGTTTATAAACTCAATATTATATTTACCTAACAAAGTTTCTAAATAATTTTACCTAACATAATTGCACAAAAAATAGTTCCTAAACTCAAAATGTAATATTAAATAGTTCCTAAACTCAAAATATAATCAATATATTTTCTATTATTAACACATCAAAATAGTTCCTAAACTCAATGTTATATTTACCTAACAAAGTTCCTAAATATTTTTACCTAACCTAGTTACACAAAAAAATAGTTCCTAAACTCAAAATATAATATTAAATACATCTAACCATCTACAAAATGTTAAAAAAAATATCGCCTACTCCTCGTGAACATCCTGTTACATGTACATTGAAACTTGTAAAGAACTATTAAATAAGATTGATACTATGTACTTCCAAGACAAATAATATACGTTTTCTACAAATATTATCAAAATAATATAAAATTATAAAGTAACAGTGACCATGATCAATTAAATAACTAAGAAAACATATCATAAACTACTAAATAATAAAATAACACACGTCCAGTACTAGAGAACTAAAAAACTACACAGGAATTTCCTCCTGTTATGTGAAAAATGCTACAACATAGAACCTATATACAAAAATCAATTTTCTTAAACACCATAGGACCGTAAGAACTTGCAATAAAGAATAACATACACAATAAGCTTCCCAAGACTTGACAAAAAAGTCTTTCTTTTGTGTCTTGTACTTGTACTGTTAGTATGAACAGACTATTTTCCAAGATAGTTTGTCTGTCCAGAATCTACGATTGTCTTCAAGCAAGCGACATCTTCGTTTTTCATTATTTGGGTACCTTTGTCCAAACATTACATTGCAACATACCTCCAAGATCATCCATATGTGAAAAATTATGGCAAAATTTCCAAGATTTGGACAACATTATTGAAGACTGGCAGGCATATACATTACTTCAACAACCAATTATATTACTCTGTTGAAAGAAACGATGGATGTTAGATCAATACCATACTAAACTTTTTTGGATAATAATGTTCGAATTATATATAACTAATAATTAGCACAAAATATAGCAAAATGAAAAGTTGAAAGGTCAGTTATGTATTCGTTTAAAGAATATTGGACTATACAATTTTTTGAGACCACAGGTTTGACAGTGGTTTGCAAGAAGTTTTAACTGAAGACAAATTTAAAAAAGAATGGTCACCATTAATTTACCTGCACCTAGTGCTCTATTATTTCCAATGCATGTGTCTAAGATAATTCTTGTGGTTCGAAAAATACTGAGCCACATGAATAGGACTGATCCTAAAACATATCACCTAATATATAGCAAAGCCTAACTCTTTCCTTCTATAATCATACAAAAATTCAGCACGTATATCATTCTCTGCATAACCTACATGAAAGCCAAGAAATTCATGAGCACGTCAAGGGGAACAAAATAACAGTTAGAATATATGATCTATTATTATTACATGAATAAATTTTCCCTGTAGAGATTTTCTCTAAAACTTTAATAAAATCCATGAGTTTTATTAAAGCTTAATGCAGTAATTAATGCAGTAATTAATTTTCCTTTTTCAATATCCCTCTGGACCAAATAAAATTTCCTATCAAAATTTCAAAACTTTTAACTAAATAATTAGAACAAACTTTTTACTTTGGAATCTTTAACTATGGTACTTGGAATCTATAACTAGCTATACCAAATATAACAAAATTGACGC